CAGTATAGTTCTCCAGGGATTTGGGGTATATCCAGTAATGAAAGGACTCACCCAGCCCCCATGCATTTGGTGAGGCCGATCTTGATTCTGTAGTGCCCTGCTAACAGTTTAGGTCCAGACAGTCTGTGTACAGAACTCGGACCTGCCCCAGGCCATAAGTTTCCTTGCTGAGAAAGCAAGCATGGCTTTCAGGCCCTCTACTCTCTCTGTGTGCTCACAATGTTGGTAGCTCCTATGCTCGTACCTGCAGCAGTTCCCGTTCGCCCCCTAGATTCTGCTCGAGAATGTTTGTGCCCAGTCAAAATTATTACAGAATTCAGTTAGAAGCTTCTTTCACCCTGTGACCACTCACTAATTCTGCTGGCTGTCTTCCCTGAGGGCTCCTGTGAGATATAGTCAGGTAAGGCTTTCCTGGGTTTGAGCTGGAGACTCTGAGTGCCTACAAGATTCTTCCCCACTGCTGCTGCTATATTTCATGGGGCTCCTGAAATCTGTTCCAGCTCTAGGCAAGGTTAAATCCTTCTCCTGTGATCTGGAATTTTAGATTCCCCAGTGGGAATGTGTGTTTGGAGGCAGATTTTCACCCTCTCTCACTTTGGAAACTCACCTGTCTCATGGAATTTGCAGCTGCTCTCCGCTACCATCAAAGGATCTGTGAATTCTTTTGGTTTTCCTGGTATGTTCCTGCAGGGGTTCTTGGAACGAAAGTTCACAGTGTGAGTCTCCACATACTGTTCTGTCTGTCCAAGTGAGAGGTGCATGTTAGCCCTGCTTCATATTTGCCATTTTCCTTCTATCCTTGAATGAGTCTTTTAATGTGCTGTTGAATTTAGTTTCCAAGTATTTTGTTGAGGACTTTAGCATCTATGTTGTATTAGACCATTTTTGCATTGCTATAAAGGAATATCTGAGGCTAGCTAATTTGTGAAGAAAAGAGGTTTTATTTTTGACTTATAGTACTGCAGGGTGTACAGGAAGCATGGTGCTGAGATATTTCTTGTGAGGGCCTCAGGAAGCTAACCATCATGCCAGAAGACAATGAGGAGCCAGCATGTCATATGGTGAAAGTGGGAGCAAAAAAGCAAGTGGGGAGGTACCACAAAATTTTAAACAACCAGTTCTTGCAAGAACTCACTCACTATCACGAGGACAGCACCAAATTATTTATGAGGGACTGCTCCCATGACCCGGTAACTTTCCACCAGGCCCCACCTTCAAACTTGAGATTACATTTCAACATGAGATTTGGAGGGGACAGTCATTCAAATGTAATCTGATTCAGTTGATAGTGTCTCAAGTTCCTCAGATTTTCTTCACTATTTTTTATTCTTTTTTTATCTTCTCACTGGATAATTTCATAAGATATGCCTTCAAGTTTGCAGATTCTTTCTTCTATTTGATCATGTCTGCTGTTAGAAGCTCTCTTTTACATTTTTATTTTATTCATTATATTCTTCAGTTATAAAATGTTTGTTTGGTTGTTTTTGATAATTTCTGTCTCTTTGTTGAGCTTGTTTATTACTTTCCTGAGTTCATTGAGCTCTCTGTGTTCTCTTGTATCTCACTGATCTTCCTTAAAATAATTATTTTTAATTCTTTTTCAGATAACATATATCTCCATTTATTTGAGATCACTTACTGCATAGTTACTGTGTTTCTTTAGTTGTACCATATTTCCTTGATGTTTTCATGTTTCTGACAGCCTTATATTTATATGTGTGCAGTCTGTGGTGGCTATAGTGACTAGGGCTGTTGTGGTCCTTGGTGGTGCTAGCTGCTGGGTTCCCCCTGCACTCCTTTTCTCTCATGGGGGAATATTCCAGCCAAGGTTATTCCTTTAGGCACTGGTTGTGGCATGCTGGCATTCACACAACTGTAGCTGTGGTGAAACTGGGATTGGGGTGAGGTGCATGTTCAGTGACTGCTATGGTTTGAATGTGGATGTTCCCTTCAAATTTATATGTTGGAAATTAATACCCTATGTGATAGTATTAATAAGTAGGGCTTATCTGAAAGATATTAAATAACGAGGGCTCTGCCCTCACAAATGGGATTAGTGCCCCCATAATAGAGATTGAAGGGAATGCACTTATTCCTTCTGCCATGTAAGGGTGCTGGGAGAAGTTACCATCTTTGAAGCACAGAGCAAGCCCTCATTACAGACTGTATCTTCTGTGGCCTTGGTATGTGACTTTCCAGAAATGTAAGCAATACATTTCTATAATTTATAAATAATCCAGCTTAAGGCATTTAGTTATAGCAGCCCAAAGAGGCTATGACAGTGATGGCGGTGCCAGTGCCTAGGGTGTAGTAGCAGATCAAAGGATCTGTGGTTAGATGTGCACAGAACTGGTGTAGCATCTGGGGACTGGGGCACAGACATACTTGCTGGGGTAGTGGTGCCAGTGATTACAACATGGTCTTGTTTACATCATCTACAGAGTTCAGGGTGGGTCTCTAGGACATTACACAATGACTTAACTTAATGGGAAAGGGATATAACAGTAACACAGATCCAGCAATGACAGAATCAAGAAGAGGCCTGGGCTGTGGGTCTGTGGTGCAACTGTAGTATGGCCCCAAGGGTAGCTGGTTGTAGCCGCAACTCAGACCCCAGGGAGTGGGACACAAAGCAGTGGTAGCTGTGACTTAGGCCCCAGAGTATAGAATCTAGAGCAGTGGCAGCATAACCCCAGTGACGGTTATTCAAAGCCCTGGCTCAAGACCCAGGGGCCAGGGCACAGAGTAGTGGGAATGCATCCTCAGTAACAACATGTGAAAGCCCTGATTTAGGACCTAGGGGTGGGGTACTGAAGAGAGGCAGTGTCAGTGGAATCGGCGAGGATATGACTGGTCAAAACCCTGACTCAGAGACAAGCATCAGCAAGATGGCAGAATAAGACTCTCCAGCACTCCTTCCCTTACAGAAACGTCAATTCAAATATCCCTCCATATATGAAATGACCTTTATAGAAGCTAAAGAAACCAAGTGAGAAATTACAGCTCCTGGCTGTAGTACAGAATTATGAAAAGATGCATTGATAAGAGTAGGAGGAACAGTCAGTTTTACATTGCCCATGTCACCCCTCCCCCAACACCAGGCATTGTAGCATGGAGATAAAGACGGCAATGGACACCAGACTTTGCCTTGGACACCAGCAACAGGCTTGTATCAGTAAAACACAATGCAGGGTAGGCCCCCACATCCCTAGACTCCAGGTCAGTACCTGTGGACTAAGCCTCTAAGCTCAACTGCTCCAGCAGCAGGCTGCATCCCACAGTCCTAGGCTACAGACCTATACAGCATACTTGATCTCCAGGCTGCCTTACTATCAGGACAACCTCAGGACCCTCAGGTTCTGGACTGTCCTCAATGTTGAGCTCACCTCAGTGGTCCTAAGCTCTCAGCCACCCCCAGCACCAGATTGGCTCTTGCAGCCTTAGTCATCAAGCTGGCATGTGTGGATACAGGTTCCAGGTCTGCTCACTACCAGGCTAGCCCCTTCACCCCAGGTTCAAGTTGATACCTGCAGATACCACCTGAAAGCACACCCTATTATCTGGCAGGATCCTCTAGCCCCAGGCTCTAGGCCTCCCTAGTGCTAGGCCACCACCAGCAACTCCAGGCTCTAGACTATCGCCAGCCCCAGACAGGTCCTTGAAGCTTCAGGCTCCAGAGCCACCCCAGGGCAAGGCCACCCCTAGTGATACTAGGATCAGGATTGTCCCCAGCAGTTGGCCAGTTCTCATGGCCGTAGGCTTGAGGACCATTCCTGTGCTGTATTAGCACCCCTAGCCTCTGACACTAGGCAGGAACTCAGAGACATAGGCTCTAGGCCTGTACAGTGTTAGGACAGTTCCTATGGTCTCATGCTCCACCGGACCCAGGGTTTAGGACTGTCCCAGTAGACACGACTACTGGATTGGCCTCCATGGACCCAGGCTCTTGGACCACCCATGTATACCCAGGACCCAGTCTGGCCCCAGAACCCGGGCCAGTCCTTGAAGACTTAGCCTCTAGACAAGAACATATATACTCAGCCTCCAGCCAGTATCTGCAGACACAGACTCCAGGTCTCTCTCTACAGCCCCAGGATCCTGGTCATTTCCAGTGGCTCCAGGTACCAGGCCAGTGCCATAATCCTAGATTTCAGACCAGCTCCTACAATACCAAGCTCCATGCTGGCCCCAGGATCTAGAGAACCCAGAGTTCAGGCCTGCTCCAGCAGACCCAGGGTCCTTTCTCACCCCAGTACTGAGTCAGACTCTATAGACTGAGATGCTGAGACAACCCTGACCTAGGTTCCAGGCCCATCCCAGTGGTCCCATGTGCCAAGCCTCTCTCACCACCAGGCCAGTTCCTGTGGATTCAGGCTCCAGATCCCAAATATAAAACCTAATGTTACATGTCAAGAAGCTAGGGGAAAAAAAAAAAAACTAAGCCCAAAGTTAGCAGAAATAAGGAAATAATAAAGATCAGAGCATAAATAAATGATGTAGAAACCAGAAAAAAAAATATAAAAGATGAGTGAAACTAAGAGTTGGTTTTTGTGAAAAGATAAAATTGATAACCTTTAGCTAGACTCAGTTCTAAAAAGGAGAGAAGACAAACCAGAAATGAAAGAGGAGACATTACAAATGATACCAAAGAAATACTAAAAATCATGAGACTACTGTGAACAATTATATGCCAACAAACTGGATAATCTAGAAAAAAACTGAAAAATTCCTAGACACATACACTTAACAAGACTTAATTACAAAGAAATAGAAAATCTGAATAGAGCACTAACGAGTAAGGAGATTGAATCACTAGTAAAAAACTCTCCTATCAAATAAAAGCCTAGGACATGATGGCTTCACTGTTGAATTCTACCAAACATTTAATGGAGGAGTAATACCAGTCCTTCTCAAACTCTTTTCAAAAACTGAACAAGCAAACACTTTCAAGTGCATTTTACAGGGCCAGCATTACCATGGTACAAAAGCCGGACAAGGACAAGGAAAGAAAATTACAGGTCGATATTCCTGATGAACTTAGATGCAAAAGTCTTCAACAAAATACTAGCAAACTGAACTCAATAGCACACTAAAATAATCATTTACCCTGATCAGTGGGATTTATCCAAGGGCTGGAAGGATGGTTAAAAATATGCAGATCAATAAATGTGACATAAGACATTAGCAAAAGAAAGGACAAAAGCCATATGATCATTTCAATAGATGCATAAAAGGCATTTGACAAACTTCAACATCTTTTTATGATAAAACCTTCAAGAAGTTAGTTATACAAGAAATGTACCTAAACATGGTAAAGGCCATATATTAGAACCTGATATTTAACATCATATTCAATGGTGAAAAGCTCAAAGCTTTTCTTCTAAGACCAAGCACAAGACAAGAATGCCCACTCTTAACATTTCTATTTAACATACTACCAGAAGTTCTACCCAGAGCAGTTAGGCAAGAGAGAAATAAAAGGTATCTCAATTGAGAAGGAAGAAGTTTAATTGTCCTTATGCTATAATCTGGATGTTTCTTCCCCCAAACCTCATATTGAAATTTATTTCCCAATGTTGGAGGTGGGTCCTCATGGTCGATATTTGGGTCATGGGGTCAGATGCCCCATGAATGATTTGGTGCAGTCCTTATTATAATGAGTGAGTTCTCACTCCATTAGTTCCTGCAAGAGCTAGTGGTTACAAAGAGCCTGGTACCTCCGTTCTCTCTCTTGCTTCCTCTCTTGCCGTTTATCTAGCCTTCCAGTCAGCTGAATTGTGAGCCAAATAAACCTTTTTTCTTTATAAATTACCCAGTCCCAGATATTCCTTTATAACAACACCAAAGGACTAAGACCCTGTTTGAAAACATGATCTTATGTATAGAAAACCCTAAAGACTATACAAAAATCTTTTAAAAGTAATAAATGAATTTAGTAAAGTTGCAGAATACAAAATCAGCATGCAAAATCAGTGTTTCTATATACTAACAAATAGTGAACTATCCAGAAATAAATCAAGAAAATTATTTCATTTAAAATAGCTACTACAAAAAATACTTAGAAATAAATTTAGCCAAGTAAGTGAAATATCGGTACACTGAAAACTTTAGAACACTGATGAAATGGAAGACAGAAACAAATTGAAAGCTATCCCATTTTTATGAAATTGAGATAACTCATATTATTAAAATGTTCATACTACCCAAAACAATCAACATATTCAGTACAATCCCTATCAAAATTTCAGTGACACTTTCCCCAGAAATAAAAACAATCCTGAAATCCATATGCAATTAGAAGAGACTCCGAACGGCCAGAATAATATTGGCAAAAAGAAGAAAGACAGAGTCATCACATTACTCGATTTGAAAATCTATTCCAGTGCTATAGTAATAAAAAAGCTTGGCACTGGCATAAATATATATACACAGATGAAGGGAATAGTGGAGTCCAGAAGCAAATCCACATATTTATGGTCAATTGATTTTTGACCATAAATGTTGGCAAAGGTGAAAATAACATATATTGGGGAAAAGATACCCTCTTCAATAGATGGTACTGGGAAACTGGATTTACACAGGCAGAAAAATGAAACAAGCCTCCTATTTGTCACCATATATAAGAATCAACTTGAAATTGATTAAATACTTGAAATTTTAAGACTTGAAACTGTAAGACCTGAAACTATAAAACTACTGGAAGAAAACATAGGGATAACACTTTAGGACGTTGGTCTAGGCAAAGATTTGAATGGGTAAGATTTCAAAAGCACAGGTGACAAATACAGAAATAGACAAATAGGTCTATATCAAACTACAAAGCTTCTGTACAGAAATGATCAACTGAAGAGAAAATCTTTTTTTTTTTTAAATGAAAAAAAAAAAATAAATGGAAAAAATAAAAAAAAAAAAAAACAAAAAAAAAAAAAAGAGAAAATCTTTTAAATTGGAGAAAATATCTGTAAACTATTCACCTGACAAGGGACCAATATCCAGACTCTAGGAACTAAACAAAATACTGTTACTACTGCTAGTACTATTACTGCTACTAATCTCATTAAAGAATGGGCAAAGAAAAAGGGAGCAGAGCAAGATGGCAGAATAGAAGGCTTTGCCAATCATCCCCTTTGCAAAGACATCAATTTAACAGCTATCTACACCGAAAAAAGCATCTTCATAACAATGAAAAATCAGCTGAGCATTAACAGTACCTGATTTTAAATTCATATCACCGAATAAGGCACTGAAGAGGTAGGACAAACAGTCTTGAATTACTGACACCACCTGCCCCCCATCCCTCTGCAGCAGTGGTGTGGTATGGAGAGTGTTTCTGTGCTCTAAGGAGACAGAGATGGCAGCAATTGTGAGGCATTGAACTCACTATTGCCCTACTATAACAGAAAGCAAAATGAGATGAAATTCAGCTGACACCCACCCATGGGGGGAGCATTTGAAACAGCCCTAGCCACAGAGGAATAACTAATCCCAGCCATCCAAACTTGAGTTCCCATAAGGCATGCCACCATAAGCTAAAGTATTTTGGGACCTTACATAAACTTGAAAGGCAGTCTAGGCCATGATGACTGCAACTACTAGAAATGTCCTAGTACTGAACTGGGCCCAGAGACAGTGGATTTCCTGAGGGGTGGGGGGCATGTAATATACTGAGATACCAGCTGGGGTGGCAGAGGGAGTGCTGGCATCACCTTTCCCCTAAGCACAAGCTGTATAGCTTATGGCTCAAAAAAAAAAAAAAAAAAAAAAAAGACCCCTCCCTTCTACTTGAGGAAAGGAGAGGGAAGACTGGGGAGGACTTAGTCTTGCATCTTGAATACCATCTCAGCCACAGCCAAATAGGGTACTTGTCAAAGTCATGAGGTCTCCTTTCCATAAACTCCTGGATGACATTTCTAGACATACCCTCATCCCAAAAGGAACACACTACCTTGAAGGAAAGGACCCAGTCCTCACAGGATTCATTACCTGCTACCTAAACAGCCCATGGGCCCTGAATAGCAATACCTAATACTACACTTATGACCTTGGGTGAGACGCTGAAACTTGCTGACCTCAGGTGAGACTCAGCACATTCCCAGCTGTGGTGGCTACATGGCAAGCTCCTGCCTGAGAAACGTGGATGGAAATTTAAATGGAACTTTGTCTTGTACCTTTTTGACCAGAGGGGGATAGAGCACCAAGCAGGTACTTGGGGTGCCTAATTCCAGGACTTGGCTCTTGGATGTTATTTTTTTATCTACTTTGGGCCAGAGGGGAGCCAGCTGTCCTGAAGGGTAAGTCCTAGGTCAGACAGCATTCACCACAGGCTGCTAGAAGAGCCTTTGGGCCTTACGGGAATACTGGTGGTAGTCAGACAATACTTTCCATGGGCATCAGGTGGCAGTGGCCACGGGGAGAGACTTCTCTGATTTTGGAAAGGGGTGATTTGATTTGGGAAGGACTGTGTCTTACACTTTGGGTGCCAGCTCAGCTGCAGTGCGATAAAACACTAGGTAGACTTCTAATGTCATTGACTCTAGTCTCTGGCTCTGGATGGCACCTCTGGACAAACCTGGGGCCTGAGGGAACTCACCACCCTGAAGGGAAGGACACAGGCCTGACTGGCTTTGCTACCTGCTGATTGTGGAGACCTAGGGCCTTGAGTGAACATAGGCCATAGTCAGGGATTGGCTGCAGCAGGCCTTCAGCAAGACCCAGTGCTGTGCCGGCTTCAGGTCTAACCTAACACAGTCATAGTGGTGGTGGCCACAGGGACACTTGTGTCACTCCGCCCCCAGCTCTATGTGGCTCAGAGAAGAGAGAGGGACTCCATTTGTTTTGGAAAAAGTCAGGGAAGAAAACAAGGGTCTCTGCCTGGTAATGCAAATAATTCTTCTGGATCTTTTCTAAGACCATCAAGGTAGTACCTCTATGAGGCTGCAAGAGCCATAGTGTTACTGGACTTAGGTGCCCCCAAAGTCGGTGCAGCATAGATCACAACACTCAAGTCCTTTCAAGTATCTGGAAAAGCTTCTCAAGAAGGATGAATGTTAACAAGCCCAGACAATGAAGACTACGATTAACAATGAAGAACATCTAGAAGCATCACCACCATCCAGTAAATAATTACCTCACCAAATGAACTAAATAACAACCAGGGACCAATCCTGAAAAAATAGAGATATATGACCTTTCAGATAAACAATTGAAAATAACTGTTTTAAGGAAACTCAAAGCCATTCAAGGTAACTCAGAGAAGAAATTCAGAATTGTCAGATAAATTTAACAAAGAGATTGAAATAATTTAAAAAATCAAGCAGAAATTCTGGAGCAGAAAATTGTAACTGGCATGCTAAAGAATGGATCAGAGTCTTAGAATTTATCAAACAGAAGATAGAATCAGTGAGCTTGAAGACAGGGTATTTGTAAACAGAGGAGACAAAAGAAAAAAAACGAAACATGCCTAAGGACCTAGAATATAGTATCAAAGGGCAAATCTAAGAGTTTTTGACATTAAAGAAGAGGTAGAGAAAGAGATAGGGTAGAAAGTTTATTTAAAGGAATAATAACAGTAAAATTCCTAAACCTAGAGTAAGGTATCTGTATCCAAGTACAAGAAGGTTATAGAACTCCAAGCAGATTTAACCCAAAGAAGGCTTCCTCAAGTTATTTAATGATGAAACTCCCAAAGATCAAGAATAAAAAAAAGCACCTAAAGGCAGCAAGAGAAAATAAGTCACATACAATGGAGCTTCATTATGTCTGGCAACAGACGTTTTAGTGGAAATCTTACCAGCAGAGAGTGACATAACATCCTTGAAGTACTGAAGGAAAAAACAAAACAAACAAAACATTTACCCTAGAATAGCATGCCAAGCAAAAATACCCTTTAAGCATGGAGAAATACTTTCCCAGAGAAACAAAATCTGAGGGATTTCGTCAACAACAGACCTGTCCTACAAGAAATGCTAAACAAAGTGCCTCAGTCAGAAAGAATATGATGCTAATGAGCAATAAGAAATCATCTGAAGGTACAAAACTTACTGGTAATAGTAAGTACACAGAAAACAGAGAATAACACTGTCACTGTGGTATATAAACTACTCTTACTCTAAGTAGAAATACTAAATGAACTAATCAAAAATA